TTCACTAAATTATCGGGAAAATCGAAGCAGAACTTATATATGACCATATTAATTACTAGAATAACGAGTCTTACTATGAAGCGGTCCTCGCTGGCCATTGGTGCAATTGTCCTGACATTTAAGGCATGTTTTGATCCACAATGTATTCCTGCTTTTTTCTGGCATGAACAAGCATGCACAACCTTACTTTAAACAGTTGCAACGATTTTTAAATGAGCTTTATCGGAGCTGTATTCATAAGAGGTTGTTCCCACTGTACAAGCGCCCCCATTATTCTCTTATCATCCTCACATATCGGATCAGGTTATTATATATCTTACGCCTGCAGCTGATGGTAAACAAGATAGAATGTTGTTCAGCTGTCCCATATTGGCGGAGCTGTTTTCCCACTTGATGTCTGCTTGTTGAAGATTGCGACTTCTGTTCGAAGAACTTAAAGTCTAGCTTCTCTAGTCATCTCGATTGTGAATGAAATCAACTGCATCATCAAATTCTCCGACATGCTTATGGTTGCAGGTGTAGAATTTGCCGAATAAAAAGCATCTATTACACGTTTCATGTATAGAACTATCGTTCTGAATACCGATCCGTTACCATTCCGTGGATCCAACCTGGTTGTGTCTATTCCAGTGAAAAGCGTGGCACAGCAGTATCGTGTTTACGTGCCTCCAATTAGGGTGAGTCTAAATCGGTAGTTCATAATAAACATGTTAGACCCTTATGTTTCAAAAACTAGAGCGAATTCTATTCCAATGAATCATCCAAACCAGTTATTTAACAGTCCATAAACTCCTTACTGTTCATAAATCTTACAAACTTCGTTACTATAACTGAACTTTAGTTAAAATATGAAATAGTAGGTACCATATCTCTCTACTCTTTACTTAACATGTCTGAACTGAGGGATGACCGTCCTTATACCACCAAAAGCCAATCCATAACTGTTATTTAAATAAGATCTTCTTGGCTTTTGGGAATCAATTCAGACTCCAATCCACAGAATAAACCTGACTTTGTGAACACATCCTGTATACTCATCAAATCAAGGCTAAACCGATCTCATTCTTAGATGCCCCAGAAGCAGGTTCGATAATGATTGCATAATGACACACTTATCAGTTTGGTGACCATGCTAATATTGATAAAACGTGGAATTTATGAAAACTAAATACTTAATTACTTAAATATAGCCGTTTCCGTACTGCGCTATACTTAATAGTATGTTTAAAAGCGCGCCGCAGCTCCTCCCCTACCACAACATTTGCGCTGTTTCTTATTCGCGCACGTACTTTTATTTACTTGGCCTATAATCAGAACCATACATAAACGCTATAGTGGCAGTGACGTAATTTTTTTGCGCAACAATTACAGAATTATCCTCCATAAAGTGATTTACAAAATGACACGCCTAAAACCTCGTGTTTTCGTGTTCACTTAAACGTTACTTGGCGGCTAACTGTTTGTCCTGACTTTGCAGCTAGATCCGGACTCTGCCATGAATATGTATTTACAATTTGATATAGTGTATAATTGGTTTAGTGTTTATAATACCTCAGCAACCTGTTATCACTGCTAACACAAAAACAAAATGATTGCCGTGGCAAGAGCATAACCAATTAAATAACACGCACTCCGATAAAAGCCGTCTGGAGAAACTCCGCAAAATGTTTCAATGGGTAGTCAACGGGCACAAAGAATCACTACTAGCATTATGTGTCCCTTTACCCTCCAACATAATTTGAACATTTTTGTTGCGAACTCATTGGAAAACATCTGAATTAATAAAACAAAAGTTAATAAAACAAAAGTTAAATTTATTACCAATTATTCAATCATACATATCCTAAATTCTAATTATGGAAACACAATGCAAAATGGATGTCTTAACTATAATTTTTTTGGACTAATAATTATTGACTTTCAAAGTTGAATTTAGTTAAGTATGAAATTCCACCCACATCATAGTTAGGGGTAGAATGTTATTTTTAAATTTAAAATTGAGAAGATTGATCTATGGCTTTAAAATGTAAAATTCTAGCAAAGATATCTTAATTTTAAATAGTTGGTTACAGTTTATGACAGTACTGGCATGACTATTTGTATATTGTGGCTGGTAACAACCATGTTGCAGTAAGGGCTTTACGAACCCCAGGGGACCCACAATGATGATAAGATCAGTCCAGATTGTTTCTATGTAGACAATTTATTTATTTTGGAGCTTATGATAACGTGGTAATAGCTTGGTGGTCATGATTAAAGTCAGTTATCCTTGTGTGCTAAATATCCATCCAGATGCTTAGTGTTGTGGGTAAATCATGCCCTTCTACGATAATAAATGTTTGACCATAACTTTGTTTACCAACATAAACTGTGGCACTAATTTCAATAACAATATTTACATTCATGATATTAAAGCGTGTTTTTTTCCCAGCACTACTCCACAACAAAAACCTTCGGGCCCACCCGAGGAAACACGGTCCGCAGAACAAAGAGCCCAATTGTGCTCTTCTATTCTGTATCGTGTGTATCTACAATAAAGACTAAGCTAAATATACTAGAAAAAATTGTAAATGGAATCATTACAGTCGTTTGATAAAGTTCACGTGTCAAAGTAATGTTCCATGGAGATCATATTTTTGATCCCCGGAGGGCAAACACACTTCCGAAGGTCAAGGCAAACCTGTCGATGTTTCACCATACTAAGTAAGGCGATTTGAACATATACTCAGCTACAACTCAAGACCCAAACGGGACGTAAGAACTTCGTGAGCCTCAAAATCTTCAAATATACAGCACAAGTACCTAGTTAGTCAAACACATAAACACAAAGCATACATACGAATACCAAATAATGTATAAGTGCCATTACTAATTCGAAATAAAAATATATCCTGCTATCTAATTTTAAAAAATTGAAAATAAACCTGAGAGAAGAGGGGAAGGAGAGGGTTTTTGGGAGAGGCCATATGAGTAAGGAAAACAAAACAGGATCCTGTGCCGTAAGCTTTTAAAAATTTTTGTATATGATTCGTTTTGATTTCGTCCTCTTATAATAATATAAGGTCTGATAACCCTTGTCAAGGAACTATGCAATAACACCGTTGGTTTACTCATATGATTAAGTATTAGTTAAATAACCTATTTCATGATAATTCATTTGCCATCAAGTTGTAACTGCACCATCGGTTGTCTGTCATATTTAAATGTAGTTCTAACAAAGCTTTCATAAGATTAATCTTGAATATACTGATAGGAGTGGAGAAGTCCTATTTCACTCGTTGACCTTACGGCAGTGATTCCAAATACAGTTGATTTTAAGATGAATATTGAGGACGGAGTGGGTGGATGAGGTAGTTGTCTCGTCTTGGTGACCTGTTGAATAAAGAAACATTGTGTATACGGTGATTGTAACTTATTTATTTAAAAACATTTCCAGTAAACAGTGCAACTTATGAGATTGTGGACAGTCAGAAGTTATACTCCGTTTCAGATTGGTGTTTACTGTGATCTATTATCAAAAAAGAAATCTTTGCCTAACATCTGCTTGATAACTTACCGTCTTATCCCAGTGATAGGCCTTACTCTGGCCATGTTTTGAACTTATTGAAGAACGCATGCATTATCACAAAGAAATCTATGATTTCTTTTTGTATTAAATATGGCTTTATTTATTAATTTGATGACACCTCCAAACAGATATTCCATAACAAGTGTGATTCAAAAAGGGTGTGGGTACAGGTCTTAAGAGTGTATTAGGTACACATCGTCTGATTCCAAATAGTCGCTACCAACTCACATTTCAATTTACGATTTAACGCTCTCAAGTTACATCCCAGTTTCAGTTTTTGGTCAATAATGACTCCAAAGAAACTTTAGTTTCCTCTACCTTTTATATTATTAAATTATTCAGTGTCAGTTCTAAATTCATTAGTGTGTTGAATCTGGTTCATTTTCCTACAGTTCTGCTTAAAGTGATATAACAACATTTCTTTGTGTTGATATGCAGCAATTTATCTCATATAGTGATGAACAAGTTTAAGAATATTTGTTAGCTTGTTGTGCATTAAAAGGTGTTTTTATAATTTATCTACAACAAATATGGAGGTGTCATCGGCAAAAGTATATAACTTACCTAGGTCTGATACTCAATATCTTCATTGAATGTATATAAATGAAAAACAAGGACCTAATACTGACCCCTGAGGCACAACCAAATATTACAGACATTTTTTTCGGATTCTTCTCCAAGTACTGAACATATTGCTGCCTATTAGAGAGGTAACTGGCTATTAAATTAATTTTGCATCCCTCGAATTCCAAATCAATCAGTTTTTTAAGCAGTTTATCATGACAGATTTATCAAAACGCTTTAACTTAATCATAAGAGCCAAGTACATGATTTTTATCTCTTAGTGATTTTTTCATGTAGTCGACAGAGAAGTTAAGTGCATGGCTTCCGAATGATTTTTCTGAAGCCATAATGATTTTCAAATAATAATCCTTGCGACTGGAAGAAACTGTAAAGCCTGTGATAATATCAGATGACATTGATAATTCGCTGCCCGGACGTTCTGTGTGGAGGTTAGGTTCAACGGTTCTATACAGTTAAATGTGACAAAGTTTAGGACTAGAGTTTTACACTATGACATTGTGAGTAATTAAAGGTTTATACTAGCGACCTTTTCATCTTGACCACAAAATAAGCAAAATGCTATGTTGTTGTCACGTGACAAAAAATTTTAGCCGAGGGTCGGAAGTCGGAAAAAGGTTCATGAAGACAGTGGAACTCTTTGTAGTCCGGCTGTACCTCCGAGCGTAGTCTCGCCGAAGCTTCGGACTCCGTCGGATTCAAGTCAGGCGGAAGAGGTCCCTGCGGAGTCCGCCAGCACTCCGCCGGAGTTCCCGCACTGTACCTGAGTCCGCCTAGTTGCTAACTCCTGTCGGCGGGACGACCCTGCCGAGACCCTGCCTCGGGAGCCGCTCGGAGTCCGCGGCGGACTTTAAAGCCGCTCGGAAGTCCCCTGCTCGGAGTCCGCTCGCTCCGCTCGGAGTCCGCCAAAAAGACTCGATCCAGTGTCAATACATTTTAGCGGAGCACGCCGGAGTCCGCGTCGGAGTCCGGCGGCTCCGCCGCTGACTCTACTCCGCGACGGATAGTCAATAAAACGACTTCTGAAGTCTTAGAAAAGTTCTAGATTACACTGATGTGTTCAAACAGAAATAGAACAAACTTTATAAATTCTGACAACCATTTGATTAGATAATTAAATAATTAAGTTAATCAATTATTAAACAAATATTCAAAAATATAAAATTATTTCATCAAAATATATTAAAATTACGTAACATGAATAATAAACAACTTTTCACTAAATAATCGGGAAATCGAAGCAGTACCTTTATATATGACCTATTAAAAACTAGATCAATCGTACTTATGAAGTCCACAGCTGCACATTGGTGCAATTGTCCATGACATTAAAGGCAGTTTGATCCACAATGTATTCCTGCTTATTCTGCATGAACAATCATTGCCACAACCTGACTTATAAACAGTTGCAACTGTATTGTTTAAAATGAGCTTTTCGGAGCTGTAATTCATAAGAGTGGTCAACTGGTACATGCTCCCCTTATTCTTCTTTCATCCTCAGCTTATCGATTCAAGTTATTATTATCTTACGCTGCAGCTGATGTTAAACAAGATTAGAATGTTGTTCAGCTGTCCCAATGTTGCGGGAGCTGTTCCCACTTGATGTCTGCTGTTGAAGATTGCGACTTCTGTTCAAGAACTGAAGTCTAGCTTCACTAGTCACTCGATTGTGATGAAATCAACTGCAGCATCAAAAGTTTCTCCGACATGCTTTATGGTTGCTCAGGTGTAGAATTTGCCGAATAAAAAGCATCTATTTACACGTCATCGTTTTTTAGAATGCGATCGTTCTGAATAGCCGATCCTTACCAATTCCGTGGAGCCAAACTGTGGTGTCTGATCCAGTGAAAGCGTGCACAGCAGTATCGTGTTTACGTGCCTCCAAGTTTAGGGGGAGCTAAATCGGTAGTTCATAAATAAACTGTTATACCCATAAGTTTCAAAACTAGGAGCAGAATTCTATCCACGAATCAACCAACTTAATTAACAGTTTCATAACTCCTTACTGTTCATAATCTGTTACAAACTTCGTACCAAAACTGAACTTTTTACAAAAAGTTAAAATAGTGTATACCCATATCTCACTACTCTGTTACATAACATGTCTGAACTGAGGGATGACTTCTACATGAACCACCAAAGCCAGCCTTAACTTATTTATAAATCTTCTTGGCTTTGGAAACAATCAAGGACTCCAATCCACATAATAAATCCTACTTTTGAGAACACATCCTGTAACGCATCAAATGCATCAACGATCTCTTCTAGATGCCCAAGCAGTTCGATAATTAGTGGGCATAATGACAACTTTAACAGTTTTGGACCATGCTAGATTATGATAAAAACGTGAATTTATGTAAACAAATACTTAATTACTTAAATATAGCGATTCCGTACGGCGCTTATAAGACGTAATATATGTTAAAAGCGCGCCGTCAGCTACTCCCTACCCTCAACATTTGGTCGCGGGTTTCTTATGCGCGCACGTACGGTAATCTTGGCCGTTAATCAGACCATGACATAACGCTATAGGTGGGAACAGTGACTTGTATTTTTCTTCAACAATACTGAAATTATCCATCCATAAATGATTTACAAAATGACACCTAAACCTCGTCGTGTTTCGTGTTCACGTTCAACGTTACTGGGTCGGCTGACCTGTGTTGTCGACGTTTGCGAGCAGATCCGGACTCTGCATATATTGTATTAGCAAATTGTATAGTGTATAATTGTTTAGTGTTTATAATACTCTGCAAGGGCCTGGTAGCACGCTAACACACCAAACCAAAAAGTTGGCCTGCTTGTTCATAACCAATAAATAACACGCACAATCCGATAAAAGCGCGTCTGGAAGAAACCTCCGTCAAATGTTCCTTGTATCAACGGGCACAAGAAGCACTACTAGCAATTGTTCCTTACCCTCCTACATACTTTTGAACATTATTGTTGCGACTCATTGAACAACATCTGAATTAATAAAACAAAAGTTAATTAAACAAAAGTTAAATTTATTACAATTATTCAATCAATACATATCATAAATTCTAATAATGGAAACACAATCGCTAAACCACACTCGCTAAACCACACTCGCTAAACCACACTCGCTAAACCACACTCGCTAAACCACACTCGCTAAACCACACTCGCTAAACCACACTAAACCACACTCGCTAAACCACACTCGCTAAACCACACTCGCTAACCACACTAAACCACACTAAACCACACATCTTAACCACACTAAACCCACATCTTCTCGCTAAACACAGGAAAGATGACGATTTAAAGTTAGTTAATTACCTGAAATACACGTCCACATTTGTGCTCTTTCCCGATAACATGCTCCACGTACCGGGGATGTCAGGGCCGGGAAACGCAAACACCACATCGTATACACAATCCACTGAAAATATAATACGTCAGTGCTTAAGACTTAATGACGGGACTCTGAGGCGAGGGTCAGATTTCATTTCAGTGTCTTTATTAATTTATACCTTATCTCTCCATAAATAATGTACAGTCACTGGTCATTCACTGTAGCAATATTACCTGTCAAGATACCGTAACATGTCATGATTATAATCAGTAAAAGTTTAGATAACCGAATAGAAAATCGAATTCGAAGTTCAACGTACCGTATGTTATTAAAAATCAAGACTGTACGTGATTTATGCACATAATATGTATTATATGTGTATATTGTATGCTGTATGAAAACCATAATATTACAGTTTATAATATTACAAATATCGCGCTAGAAAAATAGCTGATATTAATGTAGTTTCTAGGATCGGCTAAATCTTGCTTAGTCAGCAAGATTTAGCTGACGTAACACGTGAAGTGTGAAGGGTCCCTCACAGAGTAGTTAACAGAGCACATCACATTCCACATTTCACATAGAATGATGGGAAACGTGATAGAAAGTTAAATGAAGAGGTACCTCTTCAGTACATCTACATTATAATGTACTGTAAACATAGTATCATAATATAATATACTTTACACTCTGCACAATTGATATTTTCTACACAGCTCAAGCTGAAAGCTGCGTAGAAAACATAATGAAACTTTTAAAGAGCGATATCTCAACATTTGCATTACTTTCCCAAGCATTCAAGGACAACCTTACTTTTTACATGCAACAGAAAACTAGAAGGTAACGTGTGAAACCAGCCACACAAAAACAAATTTTAACATCATGAAAATTAAACCAAGTGTAACATGAAACAGCCAGTAATAGTAAGTGTAGTTAATAAACATATGGTGGTTAGTTTAAATGTGTTTCTATTTTAAGATACAGTAGACAACGACAGTGTTGTCAGTAAAGCAGTAATCAGTAGACAACGACAGTGTTGTCACTTGTCGGAACACTTAAACAGACACGCTACATTGAACAAGACATTATAACATTGTGTCGTTTGTGGAAAAGTACTTTCATTACTAATACTAGACGGCAACGCTTCTCATGGCCCGATAATCCGGATTAATCTCAAACATTTTTGTCCGTACATTTCTTAATCTGATCGTTATTAGTTATATCGGAACAGTTTCATTCACGTTGACTACTCTTTCACAGTTTATTATCTAGCTTTCAAGCAGTATACTATTTTGTTTTCTATATTCTTTCAGACTTTTACTTAAGTATATTTATACATTACTTTATCATATTTTATTGAACTAAGGTGTAGTATTGCCAGATCCCAGTTCAATTTGTAACGGAGTTTTATATTAACAGGAAACGATGCAACAGAGTCGATATATTTTAATGTTGTTTAATGTGGGGTGGCAAGTCCCCATACATCGTCGTCCGGTAGTTTCATTGCGTCCTAATATATATGATAAATCGTTTAGAAAAGAATATTTATTCCTAAACAAACAGACTAAAGAAGTGGTTTGTTTAGAATAAATCTTACGTCTTTACGTCAACAGAAATATCAATGAAGTATCATTTGTCACTATCCAAGGCATTATGTCCCGTGTGTGTTTTTGTGTAACACAAACAAAAATGCAGTGTAACTTCCTTTACTTGATAACCTCTCAATATTGAATAATGATAGTCCCTAAAATTCAGATAAGTTTCCATCAAGATGATAATTTAATATGATTATGATCAAATGAGATACGTGTTGGTAACCTATACACTATACAGCCTTACCTACATCGCTTAATTTCTTAAAAACAGCAGGCTGATAATTCAATATTTCTGTTGTACACATTACACATATTTACACATATTTACACATATTTACACATATTTACACATATTTAGTATTTACACAGTACACATATTTGTATAAAATATGTAACACAACTATCGCACCGCTGTATATCACATGTAGGTAAATTGATCGTGTTACTAAAATATGTGTTTTTCTACGAAAGAGGACAGTATAATTAATGTACAATTTAGAGGTACAGTGGGGGGGGGGGTGTCATGTCCGCCTATGTCCGCCTATGTCCTGTCCTTTTTGGATTCTATGAGACAACGGACGTGTTTTTTGGGACATTGGCGGACACGGACGGACATTGGCGGACTCGGACGGACATTGGGGGACACAGACGGACATTGGCGGACACGGACGGACATTTGCGGACCCGGACGGACATTGGCGGACTCGGACGGACATTGGTGGACATTAGCTCAGGAGGAGGAGGACTCAGGAGGAGGACTGAGACGGAGGAGGACTGAACAGTACTGAAGAGTACTGAGGAGGATGGCTGAGGAGGATGGCTGAGGAGGATGGCTGGGGAGGATGGCTGAGGAGGATGACTGAGGAGGATGACTGAGGAGGATGACTGAGAGGGAGAAGGAGGATCAGGAAGACCCAGGAGGAGGAGGAGGAGGAGGACCCAGAAGGAGGACCTAGGTGGACCGTGGAGGAGGAGGAGAACTGAGGAGGATGACTCAGGAGGAGGAGGACTCAGGAGGAGGACTGAGGAGGATGGCTGAGGAGGATGGCTGAGGAGGATGGCTGAGGAGGATGACTGAGAGGGAGGAGGAGGAGGAAGAGGAGGAAGAGGACTGAGGAGGAGGAGGAGAAGGACTGAGGAGGAGAAGGAGGACCCAGGAAGAGGAGGACCCAGGAGGAGGAGGACCCAGGAGGAGGACCCAGGAAAAGGCCTCAGGAGGAGGAGGAGGACTGGGGAGGAGGAAGACTGTTGAGGACTGATGAGGAAAACTAAGCACGAGGAGGAGGAGTAGGAGGAGGACTGAGGAGGGGAGAAGGAAGAGGACTGGGGAGGATCAGGAAGACCCAGGAGGAGGACCCAGAAGGAGGAGGAGGAGGAGGACCCAGAAGGAGGAGGAGGACTGAGGAGGACTGAGGAGGACTGAGGAGGAGGACTGACGATGACTGAGAAGGAGGAGGACTGAGGAGTACTGAGGAGGATGGCTGAGGAGGATGGCTGAGGAGGATGACTGAGAGGGAGGAGGAGGAGGACTCAGGAGGAGGACTCAGGAGGAAGAGGAGGAGGAGGAGGACTCAGGAGGAGGACTCAGGAGGAAGAGGAGGAGGAGGACTCAGGAGGAGGACTTAGAAGAAATGAGAAGGAGGACTGAGGAGAACTGAGGAGGAGGAGGAGGAGGAGGACTGAATAGGAGGAGGAGAAGGAGGGGGACTGGGAGAGGACTGAGGAGGAGGAGGACTGATGAGAAGGATGAGGAGGAGGACTGAGGACCGAGGACTGAGGACCGAGGAGGAAGAGGAGGAGGATGAAGAGGAGGACCCAGGAGGAGGAGGACTGAGGAGGAGGACTGAGGAGGACTGAGGAGGATGGCTGAGGAGGATGGAGGACTGAGGAGAAGGATGAGGAGGAGGACTGAGGAGGACTGAGGACTGAGGAGGAAGAGGAGGAGGATGAAGAGGAGGAGGAGGACCCAGGAGGAGGACCCAGGAGGAGGACTCAGGAGGAGGAGGAGGACTGGGGAGGGGGAGGACTGTTGAGGACTAATGAGGAGGACTGAGGACAAGGAGGAGGAGTAGGAGGAGGACTGAGGAGGGGAGGAGGAAGAGGACTGAGGAAAATCAGGCAGACCCAGGAGGAGGAGGAAGAGTAGGAGGAGGAAGCATCTAAATGTTATTTCCATTTTTGTCTGTTTTTGTCCATTTTTGTCCGGTTTTTGTCCGCTCTATTTTTTGTCCGTTTTGAAAATATAGGGTACCGAACGGTGGAGGAGGACTGAGGAGGGGAGGAGGAAGAGGACTGGGGAGGATCAGGAAGACCCAGGAGGAGGATCCAGGAGGAGGAGGAGGAGGAGGACCCAGGAGGAGGAGGAGGACTGAGGAGGACTGAGGAGGACTGAGGAGGAGGACTGACGATGACTGAGAAGGAGGAGGACTGAGGAGTACTGAGGAGAATGGCTGAAGAGGATGGCTGAGGAGGATGGCTGAGGAGGATGACTGAGAGGGAGGAGGAGGAGGACGCAGGAGGAGGACTCAGGAGGAAGAAGAGGAGGAGGACTCAGGAGGAGGACTTAGGAGAAATGAGAAGGAGGACTGAGGAGAACTGAGGAGGAGGAGGAGGATCAGGAGGAGGACTGAATAGGAGGAGGAGAAGGAGGGGGACTGGGAGTGGACTGAGGAGGAGGAGGACTGATGAGAAGGATGAGAAGGAGGACTGAGGAGGAGGATTGAGGACCGAGGAGGAAGAGGAGGAGGATGAAGAGGAGGAGGAGGACCCAGGAGGAGGACCCAGGAGGAGGACTCAGGAGGAGGAGGAGGACTGGGGAGGGGGAGGACTGTTGAGGACTAATGAGGAGGACTGAGGACAAGGAGGAGGAGTAGGAGGAGGACTGAGGAGGGGAGGAGGAAGAGGACTGAGGAAAATCAGGCAGACCCAGGAGGAGGAGGAAGAGTAGGAGGAGGAAGCATCTAAATGTTATTTCCATTTTTGTCTGTTTTTGTCCATTTTTGTCCGGTTTTTGTCCGCTCTATTTTTTGTCCGTTTTGAAAATATAGGGTACCGAACGGACAAAAAACATGACCCCCCTATAACAGCAAAAATTGAACATTTTATTTAGCAATTTAAGTGTCCATTAATGTCCGCTAATGTCCGTCTATGTCCGTCTATGTCCGCCAATGTCCGCTTATGTCCGTCTATGTCCGTCTATGTCCGCCTATGTCCGCCTATGTCCGCCTATGTCCTGTCCTTTTTGGATTCTATGAGACAAGCGGACATAGACGGACGTGATACCCCCCCCCCCCCCCCCCCCCCCCCCCCCCCCCCCCCCCCCCCCCCCCCCCCCCCCTACAGTTATAACATACAATTACAATAGCCTCCCCACAAAACACACTAATAATAGAACTAACGATATGATTTACAGTTTAGAGGTACAGTTATAACATACAATTACAATAGCCTCCCCACAAAACTCACTAATAATAGAACTAACGAAATGAAAAATTTCGAAAATTTGCATTTTCGTGCCCACCCCTAACATGATTTACAGTTTTGGGTAGCTCTTAAATCTGAAATTGCAAAGCCATGATACATTGTGCTCTGTGCTCTTGCCTAATACTCATTTTGTAATACTCATTTTAGTAGACCATAAATCTAGAGATTATCATGATTTGCTATCAGTTATCACGGATAATGATTTCACATTACACGATATATAACATATATAATATTTATCGCTCGCATGCTTTCGTACGATATACATTATACATCAGCAACGTATAAGTGCGGTGATACGGAATTGCACTATTGACCTAATACCGCACTTTTATGCACTATCAGCCGTTAAATAGCTGTTCAAGTATAATTACTCTATAAAATTAAAATCAAGAAGATCATCTAGGAAGATATATCTAGAACAATTTTTCATCCTAAAAATATTCTGATAATATGCATCAACTTTTAATACTTTTAACTTTTTAATACTATCGTTTTTTATTTTGATGAAAACAAAAAAGGGTGAATCTTGGCAAATGAATAACTAGTCAAGATGGATCGCAATCCCTCAACAGATTGAAATTGTGTCACGTCAGTCGCTTATATAATACATGTGTCTTGTATTGTAAAGTTAAAAAGTTATGATATTGAATAATCTACTTCAATTATAGTCATCACCAGCTCAACTAGCTGCTATCCTGACCATCTAATAGTAAAACCTTCTACAAGGATAATTTCAGGTTTATAATCTTCAATAGTCCAGTGTAAGTGAGAGGCATTACGTAAAATTAAGTTAAACATAACACTCGTCATATACTACGCTGTTCAATAATCCATACAGACAGTACTTAGAGACTGCTAATTTGCGTTGTTTTTTGTCTCCAGATTTGCCGCATATAAAAAAGGTTTTGGGCAGGTGCGGAATCGCATTATTTACAAAATATTATCGCACCCACATGTTGCCTCTGTCAGTGATATTTAATTCGAAAAGCTGACAGCTTGAAACCAAGACCTCTAGTTTAACACTCTATCGCTCTACCTGTATGTTAATACCACTATTGACTACCACTACATTTGCACTGATGTATGATACGAAAGCATGCGAGCGATAGATATATGTAATGTTAACTCCTTAACCGTGATAGCAAATTATGATAATCTCTGGGCAGGTTGTAGACAAATATTCTCAAGTAATTGCAAGCTTAAACAGGCCAGGGTAGTATAACTATATGGTGTTGCTGGTACACAGCTGCATCGAGTTACACGTTGTGCTACGTGTTTAGGTAGTGTGTGAAGTAGAGCTATAGATTTATTTATTTATTATAGCTGCTCCACCCCATATCTAAACACGTATAAGCATATTTGGATATTTTAATATCGATAGTACAAAGTACATTGGAACTGGCTGTTATCTACTCAGTGTTTCAAACTGTTCAAAGTAACGTTTAAATCCCTTGACAATATAACCAATAATATAATATAACTTACCTTACTCGGGAATATTATAGCGGGTTAATTTATGACTGGGAAAATTAATGACCTGGCAAAATATGGCGGACTTTCCCAAAACCCGCCAAATTATCCCGGTCATGAATTTACCGGTGGCCGACCTTTCAAGTTTTTTTTAGAGGTCAACAAATTTTCAACCGAAATTTCTGATTTTTGTTACTTGTTAAAGAAGTTATTTCAATTTACAGTTATTGATATTACTCAGAAATAGAAAAAAAGACACGTCTATTTAAAGGAAAATAAATCTAAGCAGTAATAAGTCAAATCTTCATTAAAGCGTATTCTCATTCTCATTATCGCTAATGTCCCCTCCATTATCATTATTGATATCCCCCTGCTGCTGACCGTCAAATTCGAAGTCGTATTGTTGTCTTAACAATAATAAGACTTTCATTTTGTCCGCTAATGGGGCTACTGCTCTGAAGGTCAGCCGGAGCTTAATTTCCTGCCCACCGCTTGGTATTGGGGAACTTCTTGGCTTTGCATCTTCAACTGCTCCAGTAATCAATCCACTGTGGACCATGAAATAGTGGCACAGTTTACTCACTTCTAGCGGGATGTGGCCACAAGTTACTTTAACGGGAAAAACTCCCTCTTTTTTTAGTCTACACACTGCACACGAGAAGCGATCAATCTTTAGCGACTCAGCTGATGTCTCTCGCTCTACTGTTTTCTTCTATAACATATAAAATGTTTTCTTCTCTACGATTCACTGATTCATGGGCAAGAGAAATGAGAATCACGGTCCATCCTGAAATCTGATTTCTATAACCAAATTGTGATTTTTATAACGACATTATGGTAGCAACAGCCAATAAAGTTACAGCCCTCCATCCACTGCTTCAAAAGTCTTCTCTAGCACATATGAGACTTCAGGTAAAATATGATGATTACCGCCCCCTTGGAACCCCATAATCTGACTCGACGGGTTTAATTATGACTGGTAAAATTTTTGACCGGGAAAAAAAGGCGGAATTTTCCAAAACCCACCACTTTATCCCAGTCATAATATTCCCGAGTAAGGTAATTAATTCTGCAATGCTGAATGGTTAAATAAATGATTTTCCGACTGAATATTCCTATCTTTCAGCACAATATGTAAAACTAGTAAAATTGCTATTATATCCAATAACTAATAACGATAAGTAACTTACATGATTCCCCAAGCCGAGAAATAACCTCAACGGCCCCCTTGGTACGGGGATAAAGTACATTCCGGAAGGGTTCAATGCTGCGTTGTTCACAGAACTTGATGGAAGCCTCGTGTTTGGCGAGTGTAAAGCGTGTTCCTTCAGCATACAACACGTACTGAAGATATTGAATACTTTTAAATGTTAGCATTTGTTATTTCAGCATACAACAAGTACTGAAGATTTGAAGATATTGAATACTTTTAAATGTTAGCATTTGTTATTAAATAAGAAACCTGGACACATGGTTCACTCATGACTTCAATATTGTCTAGATATTATAATTACTTTATACCTTACTCGTTAATATCATAGTGCCGATAGTGGGTTAAATTATGACCGTTAAAGTTAACGACCGTTAAAAGTATAGCGGATGGACCAAAAACCGCCAATTTTTAATTCCATAATAAGTAAGGTGGGGATCATTATTGAGACGTAATATAAAAGATACGATAGATTCTAGTAAAAGAAGCTGCCAGGTATTAGTTGAGATGTAAAGTAGAACTCTTACGAAGTTGTTGTTGATATGAGGATCGTAGCTGGCCCAAGTTTGGCATGTGTTCCTGATGGTATCCTCATCTTTCACCCAATTTCTTGACAAGAACAAGTAATCACTAAACCACATCTTCCAACCAACCACTGGCAGATACTTAGCTTCCTTCTTTATCAGACTTTTACAGCCCTGTAAACAAATAAAATCAGCATTCGTTCAGTCATTTGAAACTTTTAAAAGAAAACAATGGCGATTTAAGGATTTTTAATTAAAAGACAGTCGTAAATTTTGATTTGTCAACAGGCCACATTATCAAATTATTATTTAGTTATTATGATTATATCAAATACTAAGAAACTCGTTCACCCTAAGACAATCCAGAGAGAGAGGGAGAGAGAGAGAGAGAGAGAGAGAGAGAGAGAGAGAGAGAGAGAGAGAGAGAGAGAGAGAGAGAGAGAGAGAGAGAGAGAGAGAGAGAGAGAGAGAGAGAGAGAGAGAGAGAGAGAGAAATACTAATAAACTCACTCACCCTAAGACAATCCAGTCTTTCTGTTACCACGTACCCCAACAACCAGTCAACCTCACCGCGGTGATTACAGATAGAAAGACAATGTTCTCGGGTTATGTTCTTCACATCCTCTGGAAGGCAGAAAAAGCGGATGTTGCAGTTGCAGTGCCATTCCACAACAAATGTAAATACTGAAAGTAAAGATAAATTTCACAGTTGTCATCATTGTTTTTTGATTATTTGTCGTTGAATTGACCTTTTGGCTACGAATAATAGAACTTTAGTCACCATGGTTACTACTACAGCTGTAGATATGAACTATGCTGGCCCCAGTGGTTGAATTTTTAAATTGTCTGGAAATAAAATCTATTTACCCAAATTTGGCTACTTTTAGTTTAAATGCTAGATCATATTTAAAAATGGGATCTTGCAATTCAAGTCACAATATTGATTATGCACATCATGCTCTTCAAGAAACTTAAACCACAAATCTGAACTCATTATTGTGGCAAACGAATTAATTCGTATTTGCCAAAACAGTTTAAACATATTTGATGATGCAAATCCGCCTAACCGACTAAGCCAAGCTATCATGAATGGAATGCAATATCTCTAGATTTATATGCGAGCGATAAATTAGCCATTTTTTAGTCACCAGGAGGCATGCTTAATTTATTTATTCATTGCATTCTAACAGGCTGTCACTCTTTGCCATGAGCCATCAATCTTTGCCTTGGTGAATTAGTAGTGTCTGATAAACACTTCCTAAGCTGTAACCAGCATTTAATATAATTTGGTTTTCTGTAATTGGGTTACTCAGTAACCATGAGGCTGTTTCAAATATCAGAGTAAAAATAAGTGATTAATTAGATAAAATACAGTTAGTCAACTCTTACCAGAAAAAAGGGAAGCTTGCAAATAACCGTTAATTTTCCTTCCCCATTTTGCAGATAGTGTTTTCACAAATATGAATGTCTGAAAAGTTTAATTTCAGTTAACATCAGGAATTATTTTTGCGAGGTTTTTTCTCGTTTTACATAATTTTAAGATATAACACATAATAATGTAGGCAATCTGCAGTAAAACTTACTAATAACTGTAGAAAGTTGATTATTAATTGTAGGCAATCTGCAGTAAAACTTACTAATAACTGTAGAAAGTTGATTATTAATCCACCCAAGAGGTATATGTAGCTAAGCAAGCTGACAGCAACTAGAGAGTGGGCTTTTAAGATCTTATGTAGCATCCAGCTTAATATCTATAACATAGTATTGGTAATTTCTTAATAGTGAATTGGAATTTAAACTGTTGTAAAATTCATTCTAAATGTAATCTTTACAATCAACTCAACATGTATATCTTAAATATCAACAATCTCACGTGAATTTTACAAAGATTCGGGAAATTATGTATTGGACTGTGCAAAAAAGTCCAAGACAGTAGTCAAGTCGGGGTCGAAATTAGAAATTCGGAATCTTTTTCGAAAACTCAATCGAAATTAGGATTGAATTAAAAGTCACTGAATGCAGGTGGAAATCTTTTCCATGATTTTGTAATCTAGTTTGTTATTGTAGAAAATTAAATATATTAAGAAAATTTGCCGATGTCATAAACAAATGTTCAAATACACCCAAAATAATTTTGTGTTTAAGTTCAGAATTTCAGACTATTACTCAAAAATGAGATATTGCCAAGTTTGAAGTTACTGAAAATCCCTATGCTACAAGTTATTATACAGGGTGGGCCAAAAGTCAGTGGGCATACGTTGGCCTTAATAGCTCAGTCACTGAGTGCCCAATTGAAATAATTCTTTCTGGTATGACTTAATACCACCACTGGTTCGAGGAATTTGTCAAATCGAAAAATATTCGTGTTCATTTAAAAAAAATTAAGGTTCATTTTCGCATTTATTTGATAGTTTGGATAGATGGATCGAGCCAAATTTTATTGAATTGTGTTTGGCCTTTCGAATTACGTTTGTCCTGAAAAAATGAGAGTTTTAGCTTCTCAGATCACCGAGATATGAAGCATAACGAGTTTATTCATTACGTGTGATCAGATGATTGGCTTACCTAATCACGTGATAAGGTGACCCCGTTAACCACCCCGTTAAACATTATGAGAATCGTTAAGGCTGCCCAATTAAGGTGTCGTGTCACGGTGTCACATAATCACCCAGTCAATTTTGTTAACAAGATACACAAAATGCTTGATAACTTCGTCATTTCTAATCTGTTTTGCGTCATGTTTTCAGATCATATAATGCAACATTTAATACTCTACCGTCTGTTCAGAAAAAACAGTACAGGTGTTTTAATATTGAATGGGCGTGGTCTAAAATATTCGAATTTTCAAATTTTGATGACGGAATCCTCGAACCAGTAAGTACAGTATGCCATCTGCAAAGCAACAGCTCTCAAATATAAAACATGGTGGAGCTATTGAGGCCAACGTATGCCCACTGACTTTTGGCCCACCCTGTACAAAATAAGATATAACAAGCAGATGGTTTTAAAAATAATGTGCATAATTCTTTGAAATTTGCATGTATATTGGCACAATTAAATGCATTATTAGGCAGCACAGCCCATGGTTTGGGTATGTAAGGAATTAAAATATAGTTTTGCATTATAGCTGTTCACATGCACAACCTGTTAAATCTTTCGAGAGTGTGCAGTACAAGGAATAATGTATGTTTTTAGCTGCAGGTAATTAAGTGATTTAGTCATTAGTGATACAATAAATTTAAAATTGAAGTTCGACTGTTTGCACTTTAACCGTTATATCAACATTTAAAAATGAATGTTACAAAAATTGGTTTAATTAATTCGTGTTAAAATTAGGGTTATGGTTAGGAAATCAAACTACAGTACTCTGAGTAGTGCCCTTATTGCACTTGCCATTAACGCTGTTAAAGCTAAAAACATTTAATGCAGTTTTATTCAATGAAACAAGAAATTTCAATGAAACAAGAAATTTAATTTTAACACATTTTACAGAATAAAAAGATGAATAAACAATTCATAAAATATAATGCCCATTTGGTGTATGACTTTTTGTCCTTGACTGCTAGTTTGGTTTTGGAAGGACAGGTAACTAACGGGGCAAGGAGGCAAGGTTCAGTTAGGTTTTTAGAGACAAGGCTCATATTAGGACTAGAAGAAATTTGTTAATAGACATTAGGGGTTCTGTTTATAGTTGTTACTATTAACAGGTTACTATTAATAGGTTGCAGTCTTGTTGTGACAAAAAGTCTACACTAAAACATGCTATAGTTTATATTGTGTAGTTCACGGATATAAAATGCAGCTTCAAGGTGGATATTAGAAAGCTGTTGACGGATGTTACTCGTCTAAATTTCTTCGAAGTAGCGCGCGCCGCTTTCTTCTCGAAATAAATGGCCTGATGGTTCACATAGCCATGTGTATACGCGTATTGCGTGACGCGCTTGTTTCACAAGTTGAATATATATATATATATATATATATATATTTATTTATTGAATATATATATATTTGCCGCCTTCGGCGGTCGCGTTGCTCTAATCAGAGCCCTCTCGCTTGCAGTATCAATGATTATAATATTACGTTTTTCGTTTTATTTTTGGCTTAGCTCGCTTGTTGAAGCACCGCGTGCATTGCCAATTGCTGCATGCTTGCTTCTAAGCAATAATACATTGCGCTTTACAATTTAACGTTGCTAAGTCACGTGTTTATAAAACGATTTAGCTAATAGCATTGGCTTTAGTTTTTTAGGAAAACGTGCGTTTTTTATTTAGTATTCAATCTGCGTTCAATTAAAAACTAAATGCACAATGGGCCTGGGGCCGGGGAAAAGTAGGGCTGAAATATGTATTTTATTGACTGCAAATAATAAAGAAATTAGGGAGAATTTTAAAAAGTAGTTATGATGTTTATGTCATTACTTGTAGCGCTATGCACTACTGGGCCGCGCCGCGCATCTTCTCGCAATCACAGTAGGTCGGAGAAATGCACCACTGTGCGTGGCCAAGCTGCAAAGGATTGACATCGTGAATCAATCTCATTACTTTTGATTTCACAATAAAAAGTTTAATAATACAAAAGTTAAATTTATTACCAATTATTCAATTTCATTACATATAATAAATTTTAATATTAGAAGCACTGCGCAGAATAAATGTTTTAAACTGTAAACTATATCGATTGTTGTGACTTACTATCGATTAACTTCTTTGAGATTCCTCGTGAGGCTTAATGTGATACCGATGTAGTTATAACTTATAATATTGCATCGAGTTAACCAGTGATACTGGTAAAATATTTGTTTGAAATATGAAGACCGTCAACGAGTCCAACTCGGCGCGCGTCTTGGTAAGTTACAGTAAAACAAAATTTTTATTTACCACAAAACAATCAATACATATTTAATATTATTATACATTTACAAATAAATCTAAATTTAAATTCAGCTATATCCACAATACACAGCCCGCCGCGCAGACAGCCACACATTGCTGAGAGATTCTCAGGTGCAGATGTAAGCGCCGCGCGCGCGAGGTTTGTTATCTTACAATTACATGTCACGATATATTATTAATTATCAGAGAATTTTAGAAGCAAAATAATAATTGCATATTGGGAAAATTTCGGTCGTTAACGCAGTACAGGGCGTGGACACTGCAATGCTAATAACGGAAAATTTTGAGGCACGAGTTTCATTCAGCTACCCAATTTATATGTGACATGTACTTGTATTAAATTCAGATAAATGTTAGTAACAATCGACGTCAACATTGTGCAACTGTAAACTGCAAAATGTTAACGTCGATTATCACTAAATCAGATCTCGCAAGTTACTAATTCTTTGCACTATATATGTTACGTCACTATAGCATATGTCATTCATATTGTACGTTATATAAGATAAAAATAAACATTTTATAATTGTTTCAATGTTCAACACTGCTAAAAAACAAATACCTACTTGCCCATCCTTCAGCTTCACACCTCGTTTTGGAGACTGAAGGATGTCAATAAATAAATAATGGATAACATTAATACTGAATATGATGGATAATCAGTAATATCAATAAAATCCACAATCACTAATCATGTTTTCGATGGGCAAGCACTCGCAACTGGATGCTGAAACAAACGGCGCAAGTCTTGCACCGTTCATGCAGCATAGAGAAACAAATTTTAGAGAAACAGCATACGTCGCGAGATATCATGAGCTCCGCTAACTCTGCGATTCTAACGGATGAATTAGGCTACCCCGACAGAAACACAGGTAACAGGGGGTTGTGGAAGGACACGAACACTGTTCGTTAACTCGTACCCCGGGTACCCCCTATATAGATCTATGTCCCGCCGGAGAGAGCCCACCACCAGTCATATCGAAAGCAGCTTTTAATTCTGCATTATAAATATCGCGTCGTCATAATAAATAATATACATTACCACTACACACTTGTCACTACACACTTTTATGCACAGTACAACTAAAATATTAACAAGAGACAGAAGAGTTTTACATCGGCTCAGCACCGCAAGGACGTTGGCTATACACGTGGTTCATAAATTAGTTTGATTTGGGTACGGTTCGACCGGGAAAGTGGTCGGGATTAGTTCTCATAATGAGTGATCACTGTCGTCAGATATATTAGAGCGGGAACTCCCCCAGGTTCCGGACGAAACGCGCACAGTATTTAGAGTATCAGCGCCCAATGCTGTGCGCGCGCGTTCCCATATTGTTTTATCATTCGGCGATCGCGTTCAACGTGACTGGTGAGGAAGTGCTATGTTGTTTACCTAAATTCAAGCATGGTATCCATAGATAAGATTATCAGTCAGTAAGTGGGAATAACAGGCAAGTATCACTTGTACAGTAGGAAAAGTAGAGGTCCTAATACACTACCCTGAGGGACTCCAAATTCGACCGGTAATTCATCAGATTTGGTATCTAGAACATTTACAAATTGTTTCCTATTAGACAAGTAACTAGAGATAAGATTCAGAGCATTCCCTCTTATACCATAGTTTTTTAATTTAGTAGTTAGTTTACAGTGATCTAGAGTGTCAAAGGCTTTTGAGAGATCGATGAAGACCCCTAGGACATGTTGCTTTTTACTAATTAACGATTCTATATGTTCTACAGAGTAGTTCAGTGCATGGCTGGTGGAGTGTCCTTTCCTAAAGCCGAACTGGTTTTCATGTATTATCCCCTTGGAAGTAAGGAAACTATAGAGCCTCTTATAAATTAACTTTTCTAGA